CTATTCACCATTCTAGATGTTGTGGGAGGTATAAAGATGAGGAAAATGGATCACTCCTTTCAAAAAGCCTCTAATTTGGTGTGATGGGTTGATAACAGCTCCCAAGGACATGTCCAAATCCTACACCTTGAAACCTGTGACTATCACCTTATTTAAAAAAAGGATCTTGTAATTATGATTAAGGTAAGGATCTAGTAATGAGTAGATTATACTGGATCCTCTGGGTTGACCTTAAATGCCTTCAAAAGTGTCCTTATAAGAGAGAGACAGAGATCTGACCCACGCAGACAGAAGAGAAGACAATGTGAAGACAAAGGCAGAGATTCAAGTGATGTGGCCACAAGCCAATGAACACCAAGAAATTCCAGCGGGCATCAGAGGCATGGGACAGAGTGTCCCCCAGAGCCACCAGAGGGAATGCAGCCCTGCAGACATCTTGACTTCAGACTTTCGCTCTATTTCTGTTGTCTTAAGCCACCACGTTTGTGGTGATTTGTTATAGCGGTCCTAGGAATCAAATACATTTGGTATAATAGTGAGGTGCGCATGTGAGCAGCGGCCGTGGCGACAACTACAATAGCTGGCACATACTGAACACCTTCTCTGTGCTGAGCATTTTACCTGCATTCAGACCTCAGGGTAATGGTAGATTGCAGGTACTTCAGGAAGAACAGGGAATGTGGAAATGGAAGCAGACAGGATAAACTCCTCATTGGAAGTGTCAGACAGTGGAAGAAAGGAGACAAATAGAATGAGAGCCAGGGGGCAGGCGGGTGTCTGGGCATCAGCAGGTCAAGTCTCTTCCCTATAGGAGAGACTGCGTGGGCATGGGGCCAAAGGAGACTGGAAAGGAAGCCAGGGATTTTTTTTTTTAACTGAAGTATAATTGACACACAATGTTACATTAGTCTCAGGTGTGCAACATAGTGATTCCACAAGTCTATACATTATGCTATGCTCATCACAAGTGTAGCTCCCATCTGTCACCATACAAAGCTGTTACAGTACCATTGACTATATTCCCTAGGCTCTACCTTTTATCCCCATGACTTATTCATTCCATAACTGGAAGCCTGTACCTCCCACTCCCCTTCACCCATTTTGCCCATCCCTCTACTCCCTACCCTTGGAAGCCAGTGATTTTTTTAAAGCCCCAGGGTAAAAGCAGAGGCTCTTCCTAGATTCCAAAGCAAATGGATTAAACTCAGTTCGGTAATTCTCAAAGAGAGTTCCAGGAAGGCATTGGGGTGTGTGAAGTCCTTCGAGAGTCTAAAGTCAAATTTCAGAGACACTAATGCCTTGATAATGTCTGTTCTTTAGTTTTTGCATCAGTCAATATCTTCATTAAAAAACAGTTTACTGGGGCGCCTGGGTGGCTCAGTTGGTTAAGCGACTGCCTTCGGCTCAGGTCATGATCCCGGAGTCCCTGGATCGAGTCCCGCATCGGGCTCCCTGCTCAGCAGGGAGTCTGCTTCTCCCTCTGACCCTCCCCCCTCTCATGCTCTCTCTCTCTCTCATTCTCTCTCTCAAATAAATAAATAAAATCTTTAAAAAAAAAAAACAGTTTACTAATATTTAAAGTAGCTGAGAAGAGAAATTATGTTTCTTTCTCACCTTGGCCCAACTCTGATCCTGTGATGCCCAGCACAGAGGCTGTGTTTAATAAGTGTGAGCTGAAGTAATGAAGGGTGTCTAAAAGCATGACTCTACCATATAAGTTCTATGACCTTGGGCAAGTTACCTAAGCTGGTTTCTTGATCTCTAACATGCAGATAATAATACCCAAGTCACAGAAGTGTTGTATTAACAGAGATAAAGAATGTAAAGCAGATAGCATGGTAGCTGATACACAATAGATGGAGAAACTACCAAGTTGTTGAGACCATGTTTTGAGAAGTCATGTGACAGAGTTGTCAGGAGAGAAACTATGAATCAAGCACACTTGACTTCCAATCCAGTTCAGCTGCTTACTGTCTGGATGACTGTGGGCAATTTAATCTCCTTAAAGCGAATCATTCATTTATAAAATGTGAACAATAATATTTACTTTATTAGGGATGTTGTGAGGAATGAATGAGGTATTATATGTAGAGCTGGCCTCTTCTTTTACATTAATATGCAAATTTAAAAATAATATTTCACTTTTAAATGGAAAAAGAAAGTTGAAATCTCTAATAAAAATTGTTTGGATGCATTCTCTTCTTCAAAATGAACAGTGCTATCATTTCTTTTCTATTTTCCCTAGTTTAAGAGACAAAGAGTTATGCACGGATAAACTTAATATCACCCATGCCTTAGATTAAAAGTGTCCCCAACCTCTCCATTCTGAATGGGGTAGAGCTTTACAAATTTACATGTAGACATAATAACATGAAACTCCATAATGTTCCTTATTCTAGTCTCTCTCTGGTTGGATTCAATACTTCAAGGTATATAAAACGAAAAAGGTTCACACTTTCTATCCCCCCAGATGATGTGAGACAAATGGGAAGGATAGCAAGTAAGATTTGAGAAGATTTTGGAATGTAGATTCTCACAGTTCACACAGCTTCTGAGTGCCAGGCCACAATATCACTTCTAGATGATTATTGAAGACATGAACATGAAAATACAACAATTAGATATGACACTTCAGGGTCTATAATCCCACAAGGTTCTGCTTGATTAAAAATGGTCCATGTGGAAACTTTTAAAACCTGAAATTAGTTTCAATATATGAGAAACTCTTCACACACGTACTAATAACGGAAAAATGAGCTTGATATCAGACCTTGGAAATAGTCAAAGGAAGCACATTGACTCAATGCTCTAAGTAATAAATTGGGAACAGCCATGTGTTCCAACTTTTTCTTTATAGCGTGCATAATGATTGAGTGTTCATGAGACCTAGAGATAATTAAAACAAGGTCCCTGACATATAGGAGCTCAAGGTCCAATGGGGGAGACAGACACATAAGCATTCAATATAAGTGCTATCATAGAGAGATGGACAGTGGGTCATGAGGTGACATAGTTTGAGGAGAACAAAGTGCTTAAGTTGGATTGACAGATTTAGCAAAACATTTAATTATTTGGCTTTTAATTCACTAGCTGCAGAATGAGAAAAGCTGTTGGTGGAGCTCAATTTTCAGCTAAATATTAAGCTCTAATTTCACATTCTTCCTTTTTAAGATATCCATCTCTTCTGCCTCTGATCGGAAATTGAGGTCTTGATGCTATAATGCATTGAAAAATCTATTGAAAAATAAACTTGAAAAGTAAGAAACACAGAGAACCTATTGTTTATTTGATCTATGATGAACCAAAGTATTGATTTGAGTGGTGAATTGTTGCTTCGTTTGTTTCTCATTAACTCGGTAGGTAAGTACACTGGTTACAAACTAAGTGAATTCAGAAACAGCAAAAGGCCCCAAGAAAATAAATCTATCAAGAATTATAAGAAGACTGATGTTACTAGAAAGGAGGGAAGAGTCCGTTAAATGGAAATTTCAAAGTTGTCGGTATTGTTACTTAAAAAAAAAAAAATCAAGGTTTGGATGTATTTTTAAAGTCTTTGAACTGAGAAGCTCAGAAATTGGTTCGTCCTGCCTCTGACTTTGTCTAGGTCTGGACCAGTCACCACCACCCTCGGTGTCAGTTTCCTAAGCCTCTAAAGTAAGGAGTTTGTGTTAGCCAGAACTCTTTTGGACATAAGTAAAAGAAATCCAATTCAAACTGGCTTCATTTTTAGAAAGGGAGGACTTCATTGATTTAGGTAACTAAAAAAGGTAAACTAACTTCAAGCATAGCTTTAAATTATGTCACCAGGACAGTACACCTCTCTCTGAATTAGCTCTAATTTTTATTGTGTTGGCTTCATCCTCATGCATGTTCTCCCTCTGTGATGACAAAATTGCTCTTCACATCTTCAGTTTTATTTCCTAAAAACTTAAAGCCCAGCAAAAAAGAGTTTGTCCTTCACTGTAATTCCAGGAAAAGTCCCAGAATTGAGTTTCATTGGATTTAATTGACTTCAGTTACATCCCTAAGCCACTCAATTTGGGAATGGGAATGCAGTGTTTCAACTGGTCAGACCTAGGTAAAATGCCCTCCTCTGGGGCCAGAAGTGGAGTTGGTACAAAGCCTGAGAGTGAGGGTGAGGGAAGAATGATTTCTAAAGGAAAGCCAAGAATCAGCTATAGAATAAAGGGGAAATGGAGTTTGGAAGCCCCCAAACAACAGATGTCCACTGTAGGATGAAATACATTCCCTCTAAGGCTCCTTCTAACCCCTAAAATTACCTCTTGAAACCTTTCTTTTATTAGATAAGGACATTGTTACCAGGAAAGGTCCAGGGATTTGCCCAAGTCTCACAGCTAGTTAATGACAGAAACTGAACTCTGGTCTCTTAACTTGCAATCATGTGTTCCACATCTTCTCAAGGGTTTTAACTCCAGGATCACAATGGACTGAACACCACATGGTTTACAAAGTATGAACCCTACCGCTTTAGGAGAATATCATAATGAAGGTCATTCCCTGTATTGCTTCTGAAGATGCCATTAGGAACTGCTGATAACTTAAGGCAGGTGCAGCAGAAAACCTCTGCATTGCCTAATTTGATTGGTTGACCCTAGTCTGAACATGCTACACCATGGCACCTGTTTCTAGTCCAGCTGAACATGCTTTGCGTTCTCATTTTTAATGTCTAAGAAGAACACGCTCATGGTTACCATAGCAACTGTCTGGAGGCTACTTCTGTGTGGAGATGAGGATGCCAACAACAATACTGCTTCTTTTTCTTGATCTAGACTAGCCCTGCGGGCAGACCAAGGCATGGGTGATTTTCTTTCTTAAGCTTCTCAGATGATAATGTACGGCTAGTGTTAGGAGTTCCGATATAGCCCTTTAAATTCTTATTAAAACGGGTTTAGCTGAGAGTTCGAATAGTTCACTCAATCTCATACCTCCTGTTTCACTTCAGAACTTCCCATCAGTGCATACCTGGTGACTTACTTACAACTGCATTTTTTTTTTCTCTTCTCGAAGGAAAGGATCTTGTCCACTCTGGCACATTATGTGATTTCTGGCTTTCCAAGGTGCAAACTCATGAATATTCTTAATTAGAACTGTGGTTTCTCCATCTCTTTCAAATTGGGCTATGTTGGAACTTAATTGCAGCAAGGGACTAGGAACATCTGGCAGGTCTAACAGCCATGATCTGTGGTTCTGAATATACCATATGAATTACCAGCAGAGTGGTGCGTCACTGAGATTGCTGATATGCTGTGAAGATGTGGAGGAAGAAGAAAGCAAAGCAGATAATGACCTCTCAATTAAGTTTTCCAAAAGGCTCAGATGATTAACTGGCTACAGGCAAAGTTTACTCCTCAATTGAAAACATAAGCAACATAAAACAGGCACACCTGCCATGCCAATAACTTAGGGACAGTGAAAAGAAACATCTCATTTTTTTAAATTAGCAGGCTGTCCAATGTTTGGCAGCTCTTTTCCAAATGATTTTATTTTCCTTCCTTCATTAGTGTGAAGCTTGAAATAAGTTCTATTCAATTTCATATTATGGACTTGATTTATGTCAAAACATTGTACTGGTTATGACCTAGGCAGTGATAGACATATTCAAGGGAATGTGGCATGATATTTAAAATGTGGTCCTTGAAAATTGAGTAGCAAATATTTAGTAGAGAAATTCTGCCTTGTTTTTGAGAACTTAATGGAATAAATTTAAATTTTAGATTGAAAATCATGTGGAACATCTTGGTAAATAATCATGGAGAATGTAGTCAGTAAATATTTATGGAGCATATAATATTTGCAAACTCTTTAGACACTATAAGGAATATAAAGATGAATCTTTCTTGGGATATTTACAATCCACAACAGGAGATGAGAGAAACAATTGCTACAATGCTAGTAGGCCACATGTGATAAAGTATGATAGTATTTTGAAGCAGGTAGACTTTGAACTTGGCAGGGAGAGCAACAGTCAGGCAGAAGGACTAATAGAAGCAAAAATTCATAAGGGACATTAGGGGACAGAGGGGGTGGGAGATGAGACTCACTGGGTGTCTCATGGTGTGAGAAGCAAGTTACAGATTCTTTTTTACCCACATGATCACTTTTAATTCTTGAAACAACCCTATGAGTTTATTCCCAGGTAATTTCCAGATAAATAGACTGGAATTATGAAATGCTAAGTAATTTTCCCCTGATCACTCAGGCAGTAACTGGTAGTGCTGGAATGTAATATTTACATTCATGGGAAAATGATTAGCTCAGTTTGACTAAACCGAAAGAGGGAAAGGAGCCTGGAATGTAGTCAACCAAAGCAAGATCACACAGGGCTGGAAAGTCAAACTGACGAGTTCAAAGTCAACTCCACAGGTAATGTGACTCATTCGCAGTCTAACCTAAAACTCAGCCAGCTTGCCTGCGCCTGGAGAGCTTTGACAGGAGCCTGATGCCCCAACCTGTGAAGGTTCAAAGCCCTCCTACATTTGCCACAATTTTTTATGTTTTTATATTTTTTCCTCTCAATTCCCAACAGCTCCATGCTCCTGTGTCACGCCCATCTATGTGGATGTGATGCCTGGCTTCACCCTCAGTGTCCCCCAAATCCACAACTTCCAAATATTTTATAAGCTTGGTAACTTTCTAAAGATGAGTGGGAGTCATGCAGCAAGACACATCAAGGAGAGAGCTATCTTCCGCCATCACCTGGGCCCATTCCTTCTACTTCCCATTCTCTGCTTTTTTTGTTTTTCTACTCCTTTTCCTCATGATTCAGGCAAGGCTCTACTCTCATTCATCTCTTTCAGGACAGGTCCACTCATGCCCTTGAAAGGGTCCTTGGTGCTTCATCTTTTCCCCCAATACCTTGTGAGCTATTTCTTCTAAACAAATGCAGAGTTCTCTGTGGAAGGAGTTCTAACAGATAGATGGACGAGATCCTGGAGAGCCCGGAAGCAGGGAGATACGTGCTGAAGGCCATTGTCCAAGTGCAGCATGAGCCCATACTGACTTTACCCAGATGTTGCCAGTGAGGGTGGAAGACTAAAGGGTAAACATGAGACATGAGGAAGGAGAAACTTTTCTATTTTGCACATTCACTTGCACCATGAAAACTACCTAAGTTCTTAATGAGGTTTATGGTATTTTTTTTTCTTTCTCATCAAATGCTTTAGTTCTATCTAAGTTTTGGACATAAGGCAGTATTCTCTCCAGTTATAAAATAGAATATCAGCAGGTGGTCTCAGAAAAGAATTTTCCTAACATGCTGTACACTTTGTCAGAAAAATTTTTTCATGCTGTTAGATTTTTTTTAAATCATGATTTACTTTCCAGATATTTAAACCTTTATTTCCATTTAGTTTGCTTTGAAACGCAGCAGATTAGCTAGAGCACAAGATTGTCTAGGATCAGCTGAGTGGTCGACAACACTGACATGGTAAGAGAGCGGGGAATGCGAGTCATTTGTCTTCTCTGCAAGCACACACAAATGACCCTTTCCTGCCATATGTTCCAGAGAATTCTTTTATTTCCCTTCAGGTATTTGACCCCCTATTGAACAGAGGCATTGATCAAAGTTGAAGCTGTAGAGTGACTGATGGAATAGCTTCAGTTCTCAGTAAGTCAAATGTTAAAAAGGAATCAAAAGTAAAATTCTCAATGTTTAATTACTGTTCCTGAGTCTGGCTTATGTGAACGCGAGGATGTTGCTTAACAATCTTGGGCTTCTGGTTTCTTTTTCTCTTTTATTTTTTTAAATATACACAGCCAAGAAATTCTACAACGAGAGAGAAATTTTTTTGACTTGTACTGACCTTAGAGATGGAAGTCCTTAAATAAAAGATGGTAATTTGAACTAAGGCTCCTTGTGCCTATTTCCAAAGAATTATGACTTGGAAGGTTCATGTGAGGTGAAGGAGAACAAGAAGAAATAGACGTCTAGTTGGGATGCTGTGCCAAACATCTGGAGGAGAGAATGAGAGCATTATGGGAAAACAGATGGAGGGAAGCTTGGCCAGATAAAATTAAAGGAAACACCACTCAACATCTGATTAGCTAAGAGAATTCTATTTAAAAGGAAAATATCTATGAAACCTGTACTTTAAATTGTCTCTTGACATAAAAACACTTTTAAAAATTAGAGTTCTTATCAGGACTTGAGGTTTACTTTGAAGGTTTTCATTTACTAATTACTCTGTGCATTGTCTTCTTTTGTTTTTTTAATTAGAAACAAGACCCTAACTGATAACCAAAAGGCTTATAGATAAAGGCCTACACTAAAAATTATTTCTCTTCTATTTTAATTAACCTACTGAAATTCCATTTGAACAATCAGGGTCTAAATTAAGCATTTGTGGGTGTGAGTTAAATATTTGTGTTTGTCAGGAGAAGCTGATAATGCCTCTTTGGGAATTGGCTTTACCTCTGCAAGAAAGAGCCTCCTGTCATCTATGAACATTTCATCCATTAGCTATGTTGAGCACAGGGCTGCAGTTCATGAGCTTTGTGAGAGGTCCATGAAAATGTTTAAGATCTGATCTTAAAAATTAATTAGATCCAAAATAAAACACTAAACTAAAATGGAAGTAATTACATCAAGAATATATAATATCAAAAGCGAAATTACAAAGATGGTTTCGCATTCTTATGACAGAATACCGTATCGTATGTAATGTGACAAATGAGACATGAGTCCTCTAAAATCAAGATGCCCAGGTCTTAACAGAGGCCCTGTGATAGCCCTCCTGGTGGGGAGAAGCATCCTTCTGGGAGAGCACACACACACCCTTCTGGTAAACATTTCTTTTGTAGCCCAAAGGAAAAGATTATCCTTTTCTTTAATATCCAGAGAGGAAATGGTTTGAGTCCCTAATCCAGGAACTGGAAGATGTATAGCCTGCTCCTCCAGTCTCCATGGTATTCCCCTGGAGTCTGTTGCTACCCTACTTACCTCTTGCCCAGACTTCCTGCCTCTTCTGACTTCTTGATCCTTGCTTACTTTCCCTTCTCCTGTGACTCCTCTCCTCTTTCCATGCTACGTGCAGCCACCTTTCTCCTCATTCCTTCCAACACACACCACCAACAAAAAGCCTTGGTGCACAACAGAATTTTTTGAATGCTTGGGAATAATGAAGAGGGACCAGCACATCATGGAATAATAAACAATTCAACATTGAATACAAGAGAATAGTGTTCTTACGGTTCTTCATCCATCTCCCAGGGGGAAATTTCTTAACCAGTCCTTTCTTGCCTTGGGCCCTGGCCTGACACCATATTGCCGGGTCCACAGTCCCTACCAAGATTCCCATTTTCCAACTTTCCTTTTCTACCGGCTTCCAGTACCCCCTGCCTACCAGATAAAAAGTGAGCATTCCTATTACAGACCATCTAGCTCATGGACTTCCTTTTGCATACCTGATGATACCCATTACTGCATTTTCCTAGCAAAGACAGATTTTGCCCTTAGTTAAATTCTGCCACATCCTTGAAATGTGGAAGCTGCTAAATAATTTTCTCTCTCTCTCTTTTTGGATAGTAATCTTTACCTTTCTATACAACTTCTAAAGAAGAACCACGTGCTCAAAATAACAAATGGCATATGTTTCAGTAAGCCTTCTTTTCCCTGAATAGTTTTGTTTTGTTTTTTTTGGTTTTTTGCTAAGGTTTTGAAAAAGAATCGTTGGAGATTTGAGTCCTTTGTTGATTAACAGAGTACAAAGAGCCATGAAACCCAGCTTTTGCTTCCATGGATCAACATATTTCAATCCAAAATACTGATTGAGTCCAGAGTAAGGAATTTAGGAATGAATTATGCAGTAGAAACAACCATCATTAGAAGAGTTAAATAGGAAGAGACAAACATAGGAACAATAAGCCAACAAAGGCCCCCAGGAGAAGGTAATGTGTGAGTTAGGCCTTGAAGAAGAAGTAGGATCATATCCCAGGAATGCTAGAGAACCGTTTTCTTTGGTTTCATTTGACTCTGGACATTGTGACTGAACATGTGCCCTAAAGAAGTACATTTTATCTTGATGGTATAGTTTAAAGGATAAAACCATCAAGATGAGTTTATTCCACAAAGAATGAAGAAAACATTCGCGTATTTTCACCAAGTTTGCAAGGCTATCAGTGGACTCAAGACACTTTTTGATCCTGACCTGGGCTCAGCACACTCTTTGTCCCCGTTTAGCCAGTGATGATCATTTCAACCCACTAAGGACAAGCACGGTGCTAGGAGGCAGGAACAGACATGAGGAAACAAACACAGTAAGACATGGCCTCTCTGATTGCTGAGTGAGGGCTAACATTGCTGCAGCTAGAGAACCACAAAACAGTGTCGTAAATGGTATAATAGAAATGGTCAGGGACATCCGTGGGCACAGAGGGTGACCAGCTCTCTCCAGGGATGTTGGGGTGGGTTCCAAGAAGAGGTAGCATCTGAGCTCATTCTCTAAGGTTGAGAGGAGATCACCGGGCAGCGAGAAGGAAGAGAGCATTGCAGGGCAAGGAGCAGGGGGTGCAAAGGTGGAGAACACAGTGAGTGGCCCAGAGCTGAGGCTGCACGGAAGGGGAGCTGAAGAAGCTGTACCATGTGCTTCAGATGCTCATGATCCAAACAGGTTCCAAGGGATCCTGTGGATGCCACGGAGAGGACAGGGAATGGCCAAGGTCAAGGGGGCAAAAGAGGTGGGGACATAGAGTGAGCAGGGACTCTGCCTGCACCCAACCCCACTTCCACGGAGCAGAGCTTGCTTCAGTGTTTTATATGTCGGGATTCCAGATTATGTTGCCTTTGGGAAGAAAGGAAAAGTAAGGCTCAAAAAAATAGATGACAATGAAAAGCAGGAAAATGACCATTATAGATTTGTAATTTAGAAAGAAAACTGTAGCCTCACTTATAAAGTAGATTAGAAGACACGGAGACCAATAAGGGGTTTATTGCGATGGTTTAGGCAAGAGAGGATGAAGCCTCGAACAAGGGTATGACATGGTTTAGAAGCCATATGTAATGACTACAAGATTTTCAAGTGTACTTCAGGGCATTTTGTAAGGTCGGAAATGTTCTAGAGATCTAAGATCATTCTGGGGAAAGAGGGAGAAATGAATAATACATTAAACGACTTACTCATTTCACTTAGACCTGCGCCCTTACCATAGCAGGAGGATATGGCCTTACTGTCAACTGCTTAAATGGGTCCGTTTAGGACTGTCTTCATGACTGTCTTCCTTATGGGTGGAACCCAGCTGACAGCTGGTGGGGGGTGCGGAGCACCAAAAAGGTGTCAAACACAGACTGGGAATCCTGAAAAGGTTTAGTCACTTCTCTGCCTCAGCCTCAAATAAAGTTTTCCATGCAGAACCAGAGGATAATGTACCTAGTCTATTTAAGGCATCCTCACATTCACAGGAGTGGGACCTTCCTTTTCTCCACTTGCCCATAGCCTCTCCCACACTTGTGCTCCCTTGGCCTTGTTAATGCCTTCTCCCCTCCCCTTCCAGTCCCCAAGGTCCCCCTCCTCTGTGCATTACCAGCATCCTCCCTCCTCACAGACTGTTAAAGACTCCAGAACCCAAGGATGGAGAAAGAAAAGGATGAGAGACCATCATCGTGGCTGAGCCCCAGGTTAGAAATGTAAGGTATAATTAGACACTAAGTGAACTACAAAGATTAAATTCTGCCAACCAGTCTCCTTGTAGCTTATAAAGTTAAGAGTGCTTCCAAAATTCTGTTGCATTTCAATGTGGATAGATACTGATATAGATAGATGTAGATGTAGATGATATACAGATGTATAGATGTCAGTGTAGGTATAGGTATAGAAACTATGCTTATACACATACGTACACATATAGTTCCTCTATTTCCTTAACTTCAAGAGAAACCTCCCAAGGAGAACAGAGGGGGTACACCTTTCCTGCCACATTTATAAATATTGTTTCTAACTTAAATAAGATATTTACATAATTAGATGCTAAAATATTAGATTTTCTTTCCCAAAGTCATGTGCAGATTAGCAAGCAAAACCTAAATAGAGCAAAAGAAACCAAGACCTAGAGCAACCACTATAGGACATTCTTGGAGGGGCGGGGAGCATTTTTTGACCTTCAGAGCATCCTCACTGGTGGATTTTTCAGCTGCTGTGTCTTCCTCACTGGACGGAGGCTAAGTCTGACTGACAGGGAAGAAAGGAAGCCCAGAGGTAGTGGTTGGCAAAGAGGGACATTTTGGTAATTCAAGAGATCTTTCTTCATTAAAGCCTCCAGTCTCCATTTCTTTTTCAACAAATTCTAGTCCCTCCTTCAAACCCTTTCACATTCCCTGTAAATCTTCCCACTTTCATGCTGATCCTCAATGAGTTACTGCTCTCTGAACCGCCATTATGGTGAAGTGGGTTAAGATCCAAGGGCCTTGGGATCAGTCCAGTTTGCGTTTGAATTCTCAGTCTGGTATACGTTTATTGAATGAACACTGATAAGTTATTTAACCTCTCTGATTCTCAAGGTCATCATACCTAATCTTCACAGACCATTGACCCACATAGGCACTGTTTTAAGCACTATACTTACATTATCTCATTTAATATCAACTCAATAAGGTAAGTTCCATGATTACCCTTATTTTATATTTGAGAAGATGGAAACAAAGAGAGGAACATCAGTGCTCAGAAGGTCACATGGCTGGTAGCAGAGGCTGGACATATCAACTAAATCTCTGGGAAGGAGTGTTCTCTCTCTGCAGCAGGAAAAGGAGTGTTCTCTCTCTGCACCTGGAACCAGAGCCTTGCAATCCGATTCCAGAGTCTGACACCAACCACTGCACCCTACTTCCTCCCCTCTCCTCTGTACTGAGGTTGGGGCTTGTAGGTAGAATTTAAGAGATAAGTATGTGAAGTCCTTAGCATGGTGCCTGGCACATAGCAAAACTCCATAAATAAAAACTACTGTTATTATGAGTGTCTATTGAGATTTGATTACTACCCACTTAACAGCTAGATGTTCCTTGTATTATTACCTCTGTATCCATCCCATTTTCCTACCATCTTGCAGTGTCCCTGAGAGAAGAAGCCAGGTCTCCTATCTAATTCCCCTTAGAGCAGCACTGGGAACCTGTGTGCCAGTGTACATGGATTAGAGACAATTCTAGATTGATGCAGTGTCTGTTGCTGTGGGCTTGATCCAAAGGAATCAGCATTGTGGCAGAGTATGTGTTTATGCACATTCTTGTCTTATGTCTTCATAACATGCACTGGCTTGAAAACAAATGTGAGTCACTGACCCTGCCATAAACCAGAGATTGCAAGAAATAGAGAAAGAAAGAAAGAAAGAAAGAAAGAAAGAAAGAAAGAAAGAAAGAAAGAAAGAAAGAAAGAAAGAAAGAAAGAAAAGGGAGGGAATGAGAAAGTGTGGGAATGGAAGGAGAGAGGGACAAAGGAGAGAGAGAGATTCTATTTCTTTTTTGAGCATCTTTAAGCATCCTTAAGACAAGCTCTGACATTCCTCTATTTGCCCCGAACCCCATCTTCCAAGGGTGATTGCAGTTTGTATTCACCACCATTCAGGGAAAACTTCCATCCCTTTTAAATGTCGGGCAAAATCAAGAATGTGGCAGTCGTAAAGCTCCCATTCTGCTCTAGCAGAATCAGTATTGCCACCTCAGGAATCGGGGACGTAAGTCCTCTGCAAACTTGTCAAGGAGGTTCTATTTTTGGCCCCCAGTCTGTTTCGGCAGTGATGAGGAAAAGCAGGCCAGAAAAACACGAAAAATAGTTGAGGGCATCTGTAATACCCATGAAAGGGACATGGAAGGAACTTGCATGTGTCAGATGGAGGAGAAAATTTGAAACAAAAGGAAAATCTGGAGGCAGATAATTTAACATTCATTTATGCATTCATTCAACAAATATTTGCTGAGCGCCTACTTGGTGCAAAGCACTGCACAGGGTGATCTTATGGAGGATATAAATATTAAACAGGCTCAGCTCCTGCCTTTATCTTACAATCCAAGTAGGAGAGATAAGACATGCACATATTTATTATTTAGTGGTGTCGTGTAAACGTTTGAGGTGGGAATCTGTGGGCTAAAAGGCTATATTAGTCATTCTACCCAGAGTGGAGATGCTAATCAGCCTGGCCCACAGCATCGTCAGCCAGCACGTAGCATTGGCCTTCTGGCCTTTCCGTAACCGACAGCATGCGGGTCCTGTGCTGCCGATCCAGACTCTGAGGAAATGCAGCTGAGTCCTCTCTCTTTCCGAGGTAGCAATGGCTACATGAATTACACAGAAAATCCTGTTTTCAGTGGCAGACGATTTCAACAGTCTAACATGAGTGGATTCAGAATTCAAGGAGGCAGTGGTCTATGATGGCTTAGCACAGAGACTTTGGAAGCACAGCCAGAGAATTCTCACCCCTGCCTGTTGGTTCCTCGACAATGAAGCTCTGTGAATCTCCGTCTCCTCCTTTGTAAAATGGTGGTTGAAAGGATACTCTGAAGTAATGTGCTCTGGAATAGAGTACTCAAAAAACAGACATTGGTAATAAATAGAACGCTAAAAAAAAAAAAAAAAAAACCCACAGACATTAAAGTTGTCTGGGTCACTTTGTGTTCAAAGAGTCCTGTACTACTTACTACACTAGGTGCTAGTCCTGCAGCCTATTCTTGATTCTTCCTTTTGTCTCGTGTGATACGAGGTTAAACATTTCATTGTTGTCTTATTCTTTGAAATTGCTGTGGTGAAATATACATAACATGGAATTTACCATTTTAGCCCTTTGTACGTGCACAGGTCAGCTGCATCACGTACGTTCGTGTTGTTAGACAACCATCACCACCATCCATCCCCAGAACTTTTTCATCTTCCTAAACTGAAACTCCATGCCCATCAAACATTAACTCCCATTTTCCCCTTCTTCTCAGCCCCTGGCAACCACTCCTCTATTTTCTGTCTCTATGAATGTGACTACTCTAGGTACCTCATGTAAACGGAAGTATACAACTTTAGTACTGTGTCTGGCTGACTTCACTTAGCATACTGTCTTCAAGGTTCATCCATGTGGTAGCATTATGGGAATTTGCTAAAGGGCTGAATAATATTCCATTAAGTGTATGTATCACATTTTGTTTATCCATTCCTCCACTGATGGACATTTGGGTCATTTCCACCTTTTGGCTTTGGTGAATAATGGTGCTCTGATCATCAGGGTATAAATACCTGTTTAATCCTTTCATTTTTTAAAACAATATCTTAAAAATATTAATGCTGTATTTTTTAAAACACCTCTCATCCCTCTAAGTGACAATATAAAGATTGATGAAGTAGTTTCTCTTTAAACTGTTCTGTGATCATAGTGGGCATATCAGGAAAGTCATTTTATTTGAGTCCTGTAGACAGTGTCCTTCAATAAATCTCTATAACCATAAAGCAAGCACTCTTACAGCCACCATGAG